TTGGGGTGAGATGGTATCTCATTGTAGTTTTGATTTGCATTTCTCTAATGGCTAGTGATCATGAGCATTTCCTCATGTGTTTGTTAGCCACCTGAATGTCTTCTTTGGTGAAGTGTCTGTTCATATCCTTTGCCCATTTTTTAATTAGATTGTTTGTCTTTTTATTGTAGAGGTGTTGGATTTTTCTATATATTTTAGAGATTAGACTTTTGTCAGATATGTCATAGCCAAAATTTTTTTCTCAGTCTGTAGGTTCTCTTTTTACTCTTTTGATGAAGTCTTTTGATGAGCATAAGTGTTTAATTTTTAGGAGATCCAAGTTATCTAGCTTATCTTCTGGAGTTTGTGTATTGTTAATTATGGCTTGTATGCTGTTTATGCCATATATTAGGGCCCCTAGTGTTGACCCTGTTTTTTCCTCCGTGATCTTTATAGTTTTTGGTTTTATATTTAGGTCTTTGATCCGTTTTGAATTAGTTTTTGTGTATGGTGTGGGTATGGATCCTGTTTTCATTTTTTTGCAGATGGACATCCAGTTTTGCCAGCACTATGTGTTAAAAAGACTGTCTTTTCCCCATTTCATGGTCTTTGGGCCTTTGTCAAAGATCAGGTGGCCACAGGTAGATTGGTTTACATCTGGGTTTTCAATTCTGTTTCATTGGTCACTGTGTCTGTCATTGTAGCAGCACCAGTCTGTTTTGACTACCATAGCTGTATAGTAGATTCTGAAGTCAGGTAGTGCGAGGCCTCCTACTTTGTTCCTTTTTTTTCAGTAATGCTTTACTTATCTGGGGCCTCTTTCTTTTCCATATAAAGTTAATGATTAGTTTTTCCATCTCGTTAAAGAATGCTGTTGGTGTTTGGATCAGGATTGCATTGTATTGGTAGATTGCTTTGGGTAGAATTGACATTTTCACAATGTTGAGTGCCTTTCTATGAGCATGGTATGTTTTTCTATTTATGTAGGTCTCTTTTGGTTTCTTACAGTAGTGGTTTGTAGTTTTCTTTGTATAGGTCTTTTATGTCCTTGGTTAGATTTATTCCTAAGTATTTTATTTTTTTAGGGGCTATTATAAATGGTATTGTTTTCCTGATTTCCTTTTCATGGTTCTCTGTATTTGTGTAGAGGAATCCAACTGATTTTTTATGTTTATCTTGTATCCTGCTACTCTGCTGAATCTATTATTTCCAGTAGTTTTCTCGTGGAGTCTTTAGGGTTCTCTACATACAGTATCATATCATCTGCAAATAGGGATAGTTTTACTTTTTCCTTACCAATTTGGATGCCCTTTATTTCTTTTTCTTGCCTTATTGATCTAGCTACAACTTACAGTGTCAAATAAGAATGGTGATAAAGGGCATCCTTGTCTTGTTCTCGTTCTCAAGGAGAATGTTTTCAGCCTCTCTCCGTTAAGAATGATGTTGGCTGTTGGTTTTGCATAGATGCTCTTTATTATGTTGAGAAATTTCCCTTCTATTCCTGTCTTATTGAGAGTTTTTATCAGGAATGGGTGTTGGACTTTATCAAATGCCTTTTCTGCATCAGTTGAGATGATTATGTGATTCTTTTATTTATGTGGTGGATTACGTTAATTGATTTTCTAATGTTGAATCATCCTTGCATACCTGGTATGAATCTCACTTGGTCGTGGTGTATTATTTTTTTGATATGATGCTGAATTCTGTTGGCTAGAATTTTGTTGAAAATTTTTGCGTCTATATTCATGAGAGATATTGGTCTGTAATTTTATTTTTTGTGGTGTCTTTGCCTGGTTTTGGTATCAGCGGTATGCTGGCTTCATAGAATGAATTTAGAAGTATCCCTTCCTTTTCTATGTTCTGAAATAGTTTGAGTAGTACTGGTGTACTACAGCAATTTCTAATTGCTGTTTTTGTATGATTTCTAGTTGTTTGTTTATTTTGACATTTTGTTTTTGTATTATTTTCCTGAATTCTTCTACTGCTTTGTGTTTTCCTTGATTTTGGCTATGTTTTGGTTGGTTTTGTCTGTGTTTTCCATGATTTTATCTGCATTTTCTTTGATCTCTTTCCTAATCTCTCAGAAAGCCCTGAATATTAGACTTTTGAATTCCCTATCCATTGCCTTTTCTTCTGCTGGATGGTCAGCTAGTGCTTTATTCTGGTCTCTCACTGGAGCAATCTTGTCCTTTTTTTGTTTTGATATTGTCAGCTGTCTTTGAGACATTCAGGTATTATTTTCTTTTTTGATTGATTGTAGTTTTGTTTGTTTTGTCCTGATGTTTTGTTTGGTTTGGTTATGTCTGGGTGGGTGGGCTGGGCATGCTTTGTTGCTTGCTTGTCTGTGGGCCTGATAGTTCTTACCATCTTGTCTTGGTGTGTCGGCCTGGTTGCTCAGCTATGGTACAGCAGGTTAGGTCCAGCAGGAAGGGAAGGGGCAGATATGAGTCATTTGTCTGCAGTGTGAACTGGGCCGGGGGCTAGAGTGGGGCCACTGCAGCCTGAAGGGGGTCCCAACCCGGCAGGGAAGGGCTTTGGGTCCAGGTCAGTTCCCCTCACGTCACGGGTGGCAGTGGGAGGGGTCCGGAGCCAATGGGAAGGGGCCTGGGGTCTGGGCTGGGTTCCCTCAGGGCCACAGTGGGTGGCAGGAGGGGCCTGGAGCTGGCGGGGAGGGGCCTGGGGTCCAGGCCACATCCCCTTGGGGTCGCGGTGGATGGCAGGGAGGGGTCTGGAGCTGGCAAGAAGGGGCCTGCGTTCTGGGCTGGGTCCCCTTGGGGCTGCGGGAAGCTTCAGGAGGGGTCTGGACCTGGTGGGAAGGGACCTTGTGTCTGGGCTGGGTTCCCTCAGGTCACAGGCGGTGGTAGGAGGGCTCTGGAGCTGGCAGGAAGGGGCCTGGGGTCCAGGCCGGGTTCCCTTAGGGCCGTGGATGACCGGGTGGAGGAGAGAGGTGGGGGGGTGAAGGCAGGGGCAGAGGGGGCTAGATGAAGGAGGGTCATAGGATGGGTTGATACTCTGGTTCCCAGCAGTTGGGGTTGCCGCGATGGGGTGGTTATAGCTGCTGTTCACCGAGTAGGGGGTTGGAGGAGTGTGCTCCTTCAGTTACCAAGTGAGAGAGTCTGGGCTTCTCCTTGAGTTGCAGCCAGCAAACATGATCTTAGTCCTGGGTGTGTCTGCACTGTACCTCCGTCTTCTATTGGGAATTCCGTGGAGGTGCCTTTCTGCGTGTGGGGTTGTTGGCTTTATTCCAAGATGGCCCCACTGAGTCATGCTGTTTGGTAAGGAACTTCTGCTTTGTATCTCTATTCCGTCTCCATTTTCTGTCAGTTTCTTCTCCTCAGTGACTTCTAATCTAATACTTTATCCCTTCATTTAAAGTTCAAGGTTCTAGGATTGATGTTTGTATCTGTTCTACTTGGTTTTTCAGGTCTTTGTTGCAGTGGGATGGCTTATTGCATTTGACTGCTCTGCTATCTTGGCTCTGCCCCCTGCAATCTTTGCTTTTGTACTTTTGTTGACAATTTTAAAGTATAAAGATATAAAGTATATTTAAGTATAACATACATAAAGTTCACAGCTCTTTAGTGTTTGGCTTGATGAATTATCACAAAACCACCATCCAGGTCAAGATACAGAATATAATCAGAACCTTAGAATCCCCCCTCGTGTCCTCTCCCAGTTATTGCCACCTCCCAAAGGTAATCACTATTGTGACTTTAACATCATGGATTAACCTTGCCTGTTCTTGAGCTATATATAAATAGAATCATGCAGTATGTACTCTTTTGTATCTAGCTTCTTTTGCTCATCATTACATCTGTGAGATTCAACCATGTTGAATGTGCAGTTGTGGTTCATTTTCATTACTGTATAATATTCTACTGAATGATTCCATGATTTAGCTATTAGAAATAGTGCTGCTATGAACATCTCTGTAGTTGTTTTCTACTGCATATGTGCATAATTTTCTCTTAAAATGTTTACCTAGGAGTAGAATTGCTAGGTCATAGTGTATGCAAATCATTAACTTTAGTAAATAATGTGAAATTGTTTCCCAGAGGTATTATACCAGTTTACCCTCCTACTAACAGTGTGTGAGAGTTCCTATTTCTCCACAATCTTATGAAACTTTAGTCTACTTAATTAAACCTTTCTGGTGAGTGCATAGTGGTATCTCAACATGGCTTAAATTTTCATTTATATGATTGCTGATGAGGTTGAGTACATTTCAATTTACCTGATTGCTAATGAAGTTGATTACGTTAATAGGTCATTTGGTTTTCCTTTTTAGTGAAGTATCTATTCCCATGTCTTTTCCATTTTTCTGTTGTGTCATTTGTATATTTCTTATTGATGTGTAGGAGTTATTGTATATATTGTATAAGATCCCTGTATGTATTGTATAACATCCTTTATCATTTATGAATGTTGCAGATAATCTCTTTCCCACCTATGGTTTCCTTTTCTCTGTCTTAATTTTAATCTTGTATTGTTTATAAATATTTCCTTTATGACTAGGGCTTTCTGTGTCTTGTTTTAGAATTTGTTCCCTATCCCAAACTTGTAAAAACATTTTTCTATCTTATTTTCTAGACACTTTATTGTGTTACCTTTCATTAGATATACAATTCACCTACAGCTGATTTTTGTCGATGGTGAGAGTTATGGATTAAATTTAATTTTTTCCCGTGTAGCTATCCAGTAACCTATACACATTTATTGAAAAGATCATCCTTTCTCTACTGCTTTGCAGTGTCAACTTTATCATAAATCATGTGTCCATCCATGTTTGAATTTTCTGTTTTGTTCCACTGGACTATTTGTCTATCCTTATGCCAGTACAACAGTGTCTTAATTATTGATTTGTGTTTTTCCCATAAAGTAGGTTAGTATGCTTGTTATAAGGTAGACATCCTGTATTAATTCATCATAATGAACAGTGAACACAATCAGAAGTTCCTCTGCATTCCATCCACATCACTCATTGGTCAGCATTTTAGAGTAAAAAGAATGTACGATTACAGGGACAAGTGACATTTGAAGATGTGGCTGTGGATTTCACTCAGGAGGAATGGCAGTACCTGGACCCTCCACAGAGGACCCTGTACAGAGATGTGATGCTGGAGACCTACAGCAACCTGGTCTGTGTGGGTAAGAATGACTTCCTTGGTAATTTTGCTGTTTGTGATTCTTGTGTCCAATATAGGGCCTTCCCTTTCTCAATTTCTGAGATTTGCAAGGTCTCTGAATTGCTTGAAGTGTTTGACAGTGAATTCCAAGGGTAAAAGGTCCTTTTCCCTTGTTGCTCCCCTGACCAAGATATTTGTGAACTCAAAACTCAAGTTGAATGGTTTAACTTTACCATTGTGACAAGGGATAGGTCCCTTGTGCTGCCCAAAACTGCAGCTTCTTCTTTCTCAGAGGCTCTGAAGACCAAGGAAGTATCTGTATCATTTCTCATTAACAGAGCACCAGGTTACCAAACCAGACCTCATCTTCAAATTAGAGTTAGAAGAGCCATCCCCAGCAGAAGGAAAAATCCCAATTTGGAGTTTTCCAGGTAAGTAGGATTGACCAAGGCTATGGAGTACATGAGGTCCCAGCTTGTCAGTCATGGGTGAGGACTTCTGAAAGAGCTTTAAGTATATCTTGGGAAAGGTTGTTGCCCTTTGTTGCTGTTTGAATACAGGGGCATGAACACCTTAAACATAAGACTGACACTTCCCCCACCACCCCCCATCCTCTGTGCTACACTAGGCTATTCTCCTTAAATTGGTGCTCATTCAGAAGTTTCTGCACTGTTCCTTTTGTCCCATAGATGTCACCCTTCCCTGCCCCCACCATTTCTGTCATTCTTATTTCTCACTGACGTATCTGAAGCCAGGCCCAGATGAATCACAGGCTTAGACGCTAATGTTCTAATTACAGATTGGATTATCAGATTCCATTCTTCTTGTTCAGTTTAAATATTCCTGTCAGATTTGTTCTCCTAAAACACCTTGATTATTTCTTCTTTAAAATAGTTTTATTTAGATATAATTTGTATACCATAAAATTCACCCTTTTAAAGTATACATTTCAGTGTTTTTTTAGCATATTCAGAGTTGTGCAACCATCATCACTATCTAACTTAAAACATTTTCATTTCTCCAAAAAGAAACCCCTATCCCTTAGCAGTTACTCTTTATTCCCCTCTCCCACACCCCCCAGGCAACCCTAATCCACTTTCTTTCTAATTTTTGGACATTTCATATAAATGGAATCGTACAATATGTGACTTTCTATAGTCTGGCTTCTTGCACTTAGCATAGTGTTTTCAACGTTCATCCATGTTGTAGCATGTATCAGTACTTCATTCCTTTTTATGGCAGAATAATATTCTACTGTATGGATATGCCACATTTTGTTTATCCATTCATCTGTTGATGGACATTTAGGTTGTTTCCACTGTTTGGCTGTTATGAATAATGCTGTATGAACATTCGTATACAAGTTTTTGTATGAACATATGTTTTCAGTTTTCTTGGGTATATACCTAGGAGAGGAATTGCTTGGTCTTATGGTAACTCTATGTTTAACATTCTGAGGAACTGCCACACTGTTTTTCACAAGGGCTGCATCATTTTACATGCCAATCAGAAATGTATGCAGGTTCTAATTTCTCTACATGCTTGCCAATACTTGTTATTTTCCATTTTTTTATTATAGCCATCCTAGTGGATGTGAAATGATATCTCATTGTTTTTGATTTACATTTCTTTAATGACTAGTGATGTTGAGCATCTTTTCATGTGCTTATTGGCCATTTGTATGTCTTCTTTGAAGAAATGTCTCTTTAAATCCTTTGCCCATTTTTTAATTTGGTTATTTATCTTTTTATTGTTGAGTTGTAGGAGTTCTTTATATATTCTGGATTAAAAGTCCCCTTGTCAGATATATGATTTGAAAATATCTTCTCCCATTTTGTGGGTTGTTGTTTCACCTTCTTCATGTGTCCTTTGAAGCACAAACATTTTAAATTTTGAGGCGGTCCAATTTACCTATTTTTTCTTTGCTTGCTTGAGCTTTTGGTGTCATATCTAAGAATCCATTGCCTAACTCAAAGTCACGATTTACTCCTGTTTTCTGCTAAGAGTGTTATACTTTTAGCTCTTACATTTATGTCTGTGATCCACTTTTAGTTAAGTTTTGTGTAAGGTGTGAGGTAGGGATCCAACTTCATTCTTTTGCATGTGGATATCCACTTTTCCCAGCACCATGTGTTGAAAAGACTATTTTATTCTCCATTGAATTATGTTGACACCCTTTTTGAAAATCAGTTGACCGTAAATGTGAAGGGTTTATTTGTGAACTCTAAATTCTGTTCCATTGATCTATATGTCTGTCCTTATGCCAGTACCACACTGTCTTGAGTACTGTAGCTTTGTAGTAAGTTTTGAAATTGGTAGGTGTGACTCCTTCAACTTTGTTCTTCTTTTTCAAGATTTTTTGGCTATTCAGGGTCCCTTGTATTTCCATCTGAATTTTAGGATCAGCTTGTCAATTTATGCAAAGAAGTCAACTCGGATTTTGATAGGAATTGCATCGAATCTGTAGATGAATTTGGAGAGTATTGCCATCGTAACAATATTAAGTCTTCTGATCCATGAATGTGGGATGTCTTTCCATTTATTAAGATCATCTTTAATTTCAACAATGTTTTGTGGTTTTTGGTGTACAAGTTTTTCACTTCTGTTAAATTTATTCCTAAGTATTTTACTCTTTTTGATGCTATTGTAAGTGGAATTATTTTCTTAATTTTTATGTTATTCATTGCTAATGTGTAGCCGGATGCACAGGTGACTTCAGATGGGGCAAAGAATTTTAGTTTTGTTTTTCTTAAGGCTGATTATTATAGATTTTTTTCTTGTTCATTGGAAACGTGGACTCAGGGTTGTTTTAAGATTTGAGCCCATTAATTCACTGTTGCATTTCTACCTAGGTAGAAACAGTATAACTCCAGTGTAGTTCAGAATGCAAATGATAAATGAAGGTAAAAGGTGGTAACGAATCTGATTCTTCAAGTCCCCAGAGTTGATGGAAATCAGAGATGATGTAAAAGTAGAGATAAAAAAGACTGAGGTGTCAGGGTAAGATTGTTCTTGGTAACAAAAAGATTAGCAGTTGGGAGGTTAGTAAAAGAATAGTATTTGATGATCATGATTCTTTCTTCAGGAACTCTGATAAAATGATAGTTCCAGCTTTCACATGGCAGGACATTTCTAAAGAAGGTTAATTCCATAATGTCAAAGTGTAAAGATGGTTTATTGTACTTCTTTCTAGAAGAAGATTGCCAAGTTGAACAGATTGAGAGACAGCACCAGGATATCCAAGATATATGTTTGTTGATGCAAGATGGAGTTCCTAACCAGAAAACAATTACCACCAAGAGTGGCCATGAATGTAATGAATTTGGAAACACAGTTCATCAGAGTACAAACCTTATTGCTTCATTACAAAGACCCCATAAACATGACTCATTTGGAAGTAATATGGCAGATAATTTAGACTCAATTAGTAGTTTTTCAGGAAAGAAACATGATAATGGGTGTGAAAAATTATTTTTCCATACTGAGTATGAGAAAACAAATCCTGGGGTGAAACTGTATGGATATAAAGAATGTGGGAAAGCCCTCAGGCGAAAGAAAGGTCTTAGTCTACATCAGAGAATTAAAAATGGAGAGAAACCCTTTGAATGTACTGCATGTAGGAAGACCTTCAGCAAGAAGTCGCACCTCATAGTACATTGGAGAACTCATACAGGAGAGAAACCCTTTGGATGTACTGAATGTGGAAAAGCCTTTAGCCAAAAATCTCAACTCATTATACACCTGAGGACGCATACAGGAGAGAGACCTTTTGAGTGCCCTGAATGTGGGAAAGCCTTCAGAGAGAAGTCAACCGTCATCATACATTACAGGACTCATACAGGAGAGAAACCTTATGAATGTAATGAATGTGGAAAAGCCTTCACCCAGAAGTCAAACCTCATTGTCCATCAGAAAACTCATACAGGAGAGAAAACTTATGAATGTACTAAATGTGGGGAATCTTTTATACAGAAGCTCGATCTAATTATACATCATAGTACTCATACAGGAAAGAAACCTCATGAATGTAATGAGTGCAAGAAAACATTTAGCGATAAGTCAACCCTCATTATACATCAGAGAACTCACACAGGAGAGAAACCACATAAATGTATTGAGTGTGGGAAGTCCTTCAATGAGAAGTCAACCCTCATTGTGCATCAGAGAACTCATACGGGAGAGAAACCCTATGAATGTGATGTGTGTGGAAAAACCTTCACCCAAAAGTCAAACCTTGGTGTACATCAGAGAACTCACTCAGGAGAGAAACCCTTTGAATGTAATGAATGTGAGAAAGCATTCTCTCAGAAATCCTATCTCATGTTACATCAGAGAGGTCATACAGGAGAGAAGCCCTATGAGTGCAATGAATGTGAAAAAGCATTCTCTCAAAAATCATACCTCATTATACATCAAAGAACTCATACAGAAGAAAAACCCTATAAATGTAATGAATGTGGCAAAGCCTTCAGAGAAAAATCAAAGCTCATTATACACCAGAGAATTCATACAGGAGAGAAACCCTATGAATGTCCTGTATGCTGGAAAGCTTTCAGCCAGAAGTCACAGCTCATAATACATCAGAGAACACACACAGGAGAGAAACCCTATGCATGCACTGAGTGTGGCAAAGCCTTCAGAGAAAAATCAACATTCACTGTGCATCAGAGGACTCATACTGGAGAGAAACCCTATAAATGTACAGAATGTGGAAAAGCCTTTACCCAAAAATCAAACCTTATTGTACATCAGAGAACCCATACAGGAAAGAAAGCCCATGGGAAAGGCCACACCCGGAAGTCAAAGCACATCACACATTAGAGAGTAAATCAACAGTGTCTGTTATGTACACTGAAGGAAAGTTTTGTCAATTTAATTAACATTTTAAAAGTATGTTCTGTCTTCTGATTTAAATACGAGGGAGTAAAGTGAGTCTTTCCTCTTTTCATCTCAGTATTCACCCAAAATCTACAGGGAGAAAAAGAAGCAGAAGTGTAATCTCTGTATCTGACAAAATTAAGAGATAGCTGAAACTCTAGTAAGAGGGCTGCTAGAGTCAGCAGAAATCAAGTGCCAGTGCAGGAGATTTCAGAGAGAGAATGCCCAAGGCTGCAGATGCGAGACAGCCCTGGTGAGGACTCTTATCTGAGTTTCAGGATACGCCCTGAGGTGCAAAACCATATATATTTTTTCAACAACAATAACAGAGTGCATGGGCAGCAGGAGGTATGATGTTTCCTAAAACCATTTTGGGTCTGAGGAGAAACAGACAGGGGCCTTGACAAGGAATCACTCACACAAGCCATATTTGCAGAAAGTAGTCTATACTGGCGGCAGGAGCAGTTGGGGTAGGGACTGGAAGAAGAGTGGTTACTTTTCCTTGTGAAGAACCCTAAAGTTGCTAGCTCGGCAGAAGTAAAGTCTGAAAGAACACACAAATGCAAAAAACAAACCAACCTCCCAGTTATAAGAAAAACTCTGGTCTACCTAGAATGTGGCCCCACTTTCTTCCTGGACATGAACCTCCAGAAAATAGCAAGTTCAGGAAAAATTCTTCTCATTCAAAGATGAGGGATTAAAAAGTAATCAAAACCAGAAATACACATGGCTTTTGAGCTAGCATTTCTACTTCTAGGAATGTATATACTCACACATGTACAAAATGATGAACACATAGACATATTCATTGATGCACTGTTTGTAAAAAACAAAAGATTGGAAGCTGTCCAAATGACAACTTTAGGGGTCAGTTGTCCAAAATTATGGTATGTTCATACAGTGAACTTGTAGGTAGACATACATACATACATAGACAACCAAAGAGAACTTGGACACTCTTTATGTATTGATATGAGATGATCTCCAAGATACATTATCAGGTCAGAAAGGCAAGATGCAGGATAATGAGTATAATATGCTACCATTTGTATATAGAAAGGGGAAAAAATTGATAAGTACATGATTGTATATGCATAAACTCTTTCAAAAGATACGCAAGAAGCTGGTAACCTTGATTACCTCTGGGAAGAAGGGGAAGTGGTGGCTGGGGGGATGGGACTGGGGGGGAGACAACTGTATATCCTTTCATAACTTGAAAATTATACTATGTGGATGGATGTACTATCTTCGAAAAATAAAAGTTTTTTAAAAGTGCATTTTATACTATTAATGTTATAATGAGGTCAGTTTCTAGATACAGGATTTAATAACAATATAGATATACTCAATTTGGAGTTTAATTTTTTAAAAAGAGTGAATGGAATGATCATTCAGACAGAACAACAGATATCCAATCAGTTCCAAAGGTACATAAGCATTACTTTCCTGAGGGTGCTAAATAAAGTGATTTCCAAGTCAGCTGGGACCACATTATGTAAAACTAAAATAGTTAAGACTGGAATACACTTCTTATTTAGTATTCACAGTGCCATCTATGAAAATATCTATACTAAAGCCCACGATGTCTGTCCATATCTTAACAAAGTGATTTAAATTATATATATACTCTTTTTACAAGAAATGTAAAGCATGAGTCTACTTGCTCAAGGTCACGTTACTGATGGTGACACAACATTTTCCAAGGTGAGAGACAGATTGAGAGCGATGGTCTGAACGGACACCGTGGAAGACCATGTAGCCTCAGCACATTTGCTCCAGAATGAGCAGTCCTCCTGTGTGAATTACCATATTTGTGGCCCTCATGCTTCTGTGGTTTTTTACTGAGGCTATGTCTGGTGGAGCTGGACAGCCCAAGCTGTGCAAGACCTGGGGATGGTCAGTGTTTAGATATAACGAAATGGGTGAGCTAGGCCTGAGACCCTGTCTGGGTCTTCTAGGCCTGTTTTTTGAATTATCCTGCAAGAAAATGAACTATTGGCTCACTTTTTAATAGGCTATGTAATTCAGACATGTCACATTCAGTCCCTTTCCAGGGAGAAGGATGTTTGGAGAAGAAATATTGGGTGACTGGCTTGCTCCTGGTGCAGTCTGCTGGGAGGATGCCTAAAAGCATAGGAAATGAGGCTATTTTGCCTTCCTATTGAGAGGGAATCTAACTGGGGTTTCAGACTCATCAAAGGTCATCCTGCAGTGGGGTGGGGTTGGGAGGTTAGGTCTTTCTGTTTCAGGTGGATCTTGAACTCTTGATTCCTGGGAGACAGATGGCAACCTGATGGGCAGCATGGAAGTGAATGAAGGTGAGTGAGGAACAGACCTGGAGGGGAAGAAATGGGAATGAACAGCAGGATGTAAACAAATGGACTGGAATTAGGGAAAGAGAGACAGAAGGGTAGTGAAGGATCAAGTGTGGGTGGATGGAGTAATGAGCGGCAGACTAGGTGTGGATAAGGGGAAGCGTTGAGGTAAATGGAGGAAATACCTGGTGGAGTGAGTTACTGGAGAAGGAGCATACTTAAATTTATGAGTAATGGGGAGAGTGGAAGTGAGTAGAGGTTGAGTGAGTGGGGATAATGAGGGACAGAGAGTGAGTAAATTGAAGGGCATAGTGGTGAATGGGTCAGAATGGGAGTGACTGGGGGTGAAGAGCAGTGCAGGTGAGTGGTAAAATGTGGCATGGCATTGGTGAAAGCAGGAAGAGTGATGGATAGTCAATGTGGAGCTGACTGCTGTAATCTGGGAATGATGGGGTCTGTGGTTTCAGGGGTCATAGGGTCTGGAGGTTTCAGTGATGCAGGATCTTGTATTGGCAGTGAGTAGTTGGGGACTGAGTGGAGGAAGTAGGAGGTGGTCACTGGGGCTTCTGTGCAAAGAAGCTGTGCTGAGGACCCCATAGTGACCACAGGTATATGGGATAGAGACAGCCTGTTCTTGGGACACATTGCTCAGCAAACCAGCTCTCTATGTTCTCGTTATTTATATACACTCAAGAGAATTTGAGGGCAGTGGGAAGTGTGAATTTTAATTTATTATTCTTAATTTCCAGTATTTGAATTCATTACATGAATCATGTTTCCCACAAAACAGTGCAGTCGATTAAGAATTATGGTACAATTTGAGAAAAAGGGGGAAGTGAATTTGTGTTACATGAGTACTTAAAAATGAATGAAAACATCAGATTTAAGTTTTAAAGGTGGGAAATATTTCTGACTGCAAGGTGGGGACAAGAACTCAGGAGAATACTAGTTTTCTCACCTATAAAATGGGGCAGTAGTGTACCAATATGTCGTTAATTTCTTTTTCTACCTGTTTTATTGTTTAGGGCAGCAGAGTTGGAGTCTGCAAGGAAGAATTTTACAAAGTTTGTCTTTTTAATTTGTAAAATAGCCACACTCTCTTATATGTAGTTTTAAAAACTCTTGCTGTGTTTATCTTTCAGTTTTCTTTGTATGAGTGATAGACACTGTTGAGGCTCTGCCTAGATCCCCTTTATGGACCAGTGTACCACCCCCATCTATGGCTAGTGTTGGCTGCTAAAGGCTCACAGCTGTCCTTTCTTCAGAGAATTGCCCTTGGTCAATAGGAGTCACCTAGCCAAAAATGCAAGGGTAATTATGCCCTCCCCCTCACACACCCTTACCCTGAGGGGTGGGAGAAATCCACGGCCAATTTACTGGCTAATAGTGGGTATGCAAGGTTCAGTCCCCTTGCCTCAGGTTGGATAAACTTATCCTTCATGCTCCAGAGCTCCCCATGGGATCAGGCTGAGGATACACTTCTATTGAAACTACATTCTTGTTAAGCTTTGTCTCCTGCCATTTCTTGCTTCTCTCATTCCTCTACGTGTTTCTCCCAAGACCTCTCATCAAATCACCAGAACAAGAATTCCCACTTCAGGCCCTGTTTCTAGGGAACCTACCCAAAACAGTAAGTAAACAACTCTGGTGTACCTTTCATCTCTTCAAGGGGTTGTATGTGTCTGTATAGGATTGTATATGTGTGTCTGTGTGAATAAAATAGGACACAGGTTTATAGGTTTCTAGAAAGTCTGATCTGAGTCATCTCTCTCCTCTGCCACTTGCTTCTTCTGCTCCAGCCATGCTGCCCTTGAATCATCAGACAAGCTTCTACCTCAGGGCCTTTGCACTTGCTGTTCCTTCTGCCTAAAATGCTTTTCCTTCAGGTATCTGCATGGCTCATTTTCTGACCTCAAGTGTTTGCTCAAATGACTTTCTGGTGAGACCTCTCACCATTTAGAATGGCACCCCTTCACACACATTGTCATAGATTGAATTGTATCCCCTAAAAATCTGTATCTATTTGGCTATGCCATGATTTCCAGTATTACACGATTGTCTACCATTTTGTCATCTGATATGATTTCTCTATGTGTTATAAAGCCTATCACTATGATGTTAATGAGATGGATTAGCAGCAGTTACATTGATGAGATCTACAAGATTAGATAGTGTGTTAAGCCAATCTCTTTTGAGATACAAAAGAGAGAAGTGAGCAGAGAGACTGGGCGACCTCATACCATCAAGAAAGCAGCACCAGGGGCCGAGTGTGTCCTTTGGACCTGGGGTCCCTGCGCCTGAGAAGCTTTTCAACCAGGGGAAGATTAATGACAAGGATCTTCCTCCAGAGCTGACAGAGAAAGCCTTCCTCTGGAGCTACCACCCTGAATTCGGACTTCTAGCCTATTAGACTGAGAGAATAAATTTCTCTTTGTTAAAGCCATCCACTTGTGGTATTTCTGTTACAGCAGCACTTGATAACTAAGACACACATGTTCTCTATCCTGCTCCTTGCTATATATAATACCTCATAGTAAGTACCACCTTCTAATATACTATGTGGAGCTCTGGTGGCACAGTGGTTAAGAGCTACAGCAAGCAATGGCTTCCAACCAAAAGGTGGGCAGATGGAATCCACCAGCTACTCCTTGGAAACTCTATGGGACAGTTCTACTCTGTCTTATAAAGTAACTATGAGTCAGAATCGACTTGATGGCAATGGTTTTTTTTTTAGTATGTATAAGGAGCCCTGGTGGTGCAGTGGTTAAGCTTTTAGCTGCTAACCGAAAGGTCGGTGGTTTGAACCTACCAGCCATTCCACGGGAGAAAGATGTGGCAGTCAGCTCTCGTAAAGATTACAGCTGTGCAGACCCTATGGGGCAGCTCTACTCAGTCCAATAGGATCGCTGAGTTGGAATTGATGGCAATGGGTTTTAATACACTATACATGTGTTTATACTGTTTGTCTCTTTCTAGCTACTTCTCACCCCCAGAACATAAACATCATGAGAGCAGGGGGTTTGTGTGTGTGTGTGTTTCGGCTACTTTGTTCATGGCTGTATTCCCAGCACCTAGAATACTCTGGTACATAATAAGTAGTTAAAAAAGAAGTTTTGAATGAATGAATAAATTGTGAGAGAATCCAGTTAACTTCGAAATTGCCTCCATTCTTATGCCACCAAATCTTTGGAGGTCAGCTAAGAAGTATGCACTTCTCACAAGCAAATAGAACTCAAAGGGTGGCCACCCCAACCCCAGCTGAGAGCTCCAGTGAAACTCTTTGGCTGACAGAGCAAAGCAGACTGTGCTGGGGACACTAAGTTCATCTGCTAAAATAAGCATATTTGTAGTGTGTGTGTCTTTTGGTTTAGAGAATGATGAAGATATACACCAACTGCCCCACTGGCTATCTCCTGAAAGGCAGAAGTGAGGGGATAAATGGTGAGATTGCTTCTCTTTTCTCTGAGCTCCTAGGTGTTGGTCTGTCTTTGTTTTCTGTGTTCATATCTCTTCTCTGCATGTGACTTTGCATATCAAGTTCTCCAGCTCAAATGTCTCAAGTGGACTTGAAACAGAGTATAACTGAAGCTTGAGTTCATAATTTTCCTTTCTTATTCCTGTCCATGGTACCATCACTTTCTCAGGCCCCCAAGCTCAACCTTGGACTGCACCTTCCCTTTCTTCACACCAGCAGTTAATCAGTTGCTGGGTCCTATTAACTGTCTCCTGCATCCCTGCCCTCCACTCCATCCTCACACTACTTCTGCCTCTATCACGTTATGTATCCTACTTTACAGGGCTGCTCCAGGCTCCAGTCTTTCTTACTTTCTGCAAACTATTTCAGGCCTCTAAAGGGAAACTTTGGGCGGGGCCGAGATGTTGGAGTAGTCAGCACTTCCTGTG